GCTTGTGCCCACTTATTATTATTATTATTGACGTCTGCTGCATATCGAAGAACGAGAAAAAAAAAACAGTAAGGTACATAATATTGCCTACTCTGACCATCTTCTCCAGTAGTTTTCGTGGTGATCATCTCTTCAATAGTTTCATAGCGTTGTTACCTTGTTTGTGATGATCCAGTTTTTGCCCATTATTCTTTCTTATAATGATCGGGATGCATTTTTGTGTAAAATGTATCCGGGCAGCCTTCTTTTCTGATGGTTGCTTGCTCTGCTCGGGTGTAGGGCTAAGATAACAAGCTTTATGTCCAATACAAAAGATAATATTGCTTATTTAATATAAATTTATTGTATATCATCGAACCCGTGATGTATTATATGGTGTCATTTCCTGTTCCCGCAGACCAGAAAATACTTTTTGGCGATGTGTTTATTGTTTTCGCTCATATATACATGCCAGATTTTGTGCGCTTGAAATCTAGGGCTCGTTTGTATTCTGTAGTACTCTTCACTCTCGCCACCCTTTCCCACCCGCTGTTTGCTCTCCCCTGAATTCCCATGCCGTCTTTTTATTATTTATTGTTTTCTGGTTCTCCCAGCTGCGTTGCACTTGGAGTGAATTCCACTTCATCTGGGGGTGCTTGCTTGGCCGCAATTTATTTCGAAACGGTTCCTGACACCACTTCTCCAGACGGGTCCTGGTTTTAAAATACAAGCGGTTCGGGGAGCGCGAAACTTGGGAGTGCAGCAGTTGGGAGTAACGTTTGTTCAAGATTTTTTATTGAGGGAGCAGTAGTAGCGCAACAGATGATGAGCAGCGAGCGTCGTCCGAAGAAATTTGGTTTTTATCTAGCTGATCTGATACACAAGAATGCTTGTTTGTGCATTGATTTGCGTTTATTTCAGATAAACATTGCGTTATAAATTTGCTGTATTACACTTATGCAGCAGCGTTGTTCGTGATTTAAAGGCCGTTCTTCAACCATGCAAAATGAACACTTCCCATCTGGTGCCATGTCTTCAGACCCCAAAGAATTTTTAATAAAGTGCCAGAATCGGCTGAGCGTTCAGTATGGATATCGTGTTTTAGGGATGGTATTGATGACCCTTATAAAGTGTGGGGGATTTGAAGTAAACCAATTGATTATGGTCACATAAAACACTGCATTTGCAATCAAGTTTCCGTGTACTGGTTCATTCGGGTGTCCAGCATCCAGACTGATGCCCAGATATCATTAAACATACCACATTCATGGATTCATTGTTTGACGAAATGTTCAATGAATCTTTGGCTTGTGGTGTAACGCATAAATAATTACATAAGTACAAAGTCGACAAATGTCACAGAAACTTTTGCACAAGGATATGACCACTTGAAGAAAATTAGATTCGAAAACCATTGAAAGGAATCAGATGAGAGCCCAGTGCTCATAAGTTAGCATGAACTCCCATCGAAACACTACTCCGAATAAACAATTCAGATGAGTAATAATGACTCGGGGTTTGGAGAAAAGCAGAAGAATAAAGTTGCGTCCAATCTTTTCGCTTCACGGAAAAAAATTTGTGTCAATCTCTTACATTCACCAAATTACATTTTTTTTTTTAATATTAGCACAGAACTGTGGAAGCAACACCCCGCAGTTCCCATGAGTTGCTTGTATGGAATTCTGAGGAGGAAAAGTTAGCGATGACCCAACGAGCCACAGAATGATATACGGTAAGTTGAGGCACATCTTTAGTGATGCACTGTGGTGCCAGTTTGGTGTGAGCTCCATTAGCAAGTCAACAATGCTGGGCTGATCATGCAGCAAGAATAAGTGACAGCTGATGGAGAAAGCGAATTATTGAATGGTACTCACTCAATGCTCCCAAGAATTCAGGAGGTCTGCGAATGAAAAAATCGACTTAAACATCCGTGGAATTTCATGTGGATGAGAAAAGTCTAAAAAATACAGAATAGCGATTGCCAGCTGAAAACTAGGACAAGAACCGCGACGATGAAACAACTCAAAATACCAGTATTTACAAAACACTGCTAGCAGTACGGACTCAGCGAAAACAGTTCCTGGTGTTTTGCAAAATGTATAAAGTAGTGGATATGTGAAAATGAGTGGAGCGAGTGAAGGAGGAGGAGGGAAGAGAGCCGATATCGGAAACGGGGAGGGCAAGTGTGGGAGTACAATCCCTGCAGCTAACAGCGATAAATCCTGAAATGGGAAATGATGTTTTGAATGGTAGTTTTATTTGGGTCAGTTCAGCAGAGCCATCTCCTAGTACATGTGCAACACGCATCCTTGACCCAGTTAGCAGTAGCTCGCCAATGTTTCCAAATTTATACACGGCTGTCGCGAGAGTTCGCCAGCCCGCAGTGCCTTTTCACCTCTGCAGCGCACCGAGCCCAGCTCTCGAAACCCATTTTTATATTTCTTTATTATTGCGACGCGAGAACTGATGACGAAGACGGCCTTCAGCGCTGTTTTTTATTTGCACTACGACGCCCTCGGGGCCAGCTGCTTCCAATCCTCCGTGAAATCGCTGCTACTTCCCATAGCCTAGCAAGAATACATCCCAACTTCCCCGATACAAGCTAACATGTTACTTGGACTAGTTATTAGAAAATATCACAATCCAATTCAAAGTTCGTTATAAGAAGCAATAAGAATAAAGGCAAAAATCACAGGCTAATGTGATTTTGCGTAAAGTGTTAATACGTGACGTGATAACGTGGGGAGTGACGATAATTAGGCAGGACATAGAGTGCCCATGCACTGAGTGACTGTTCATGCGGTTGACTTGAGCACACGTGACGTGACCAAGAGTATGATGTGATTAAGCGATTTTCTGATTTATTTCTGGAAGAGCTTATCGCACAGATGCGTAAGCAACGCGCCAGGCTAATCTTTTGATCAATCTGATTTTTGCAAGTTGCCAAAATGGTTTTGTTAATCATAACTTACCGCCTTTCCAGTCAACATACATAAATTGCAGGTCATCCCACTTCCACATTACGTAACGGTTTAAAACTGCAAATTTCAATCCCCATGTTCCGAAATTTTGAACCATATTAGCGAAAGTTGAGAGGGCAACGCAAAGACGATTGTAAAAGTTGATTTTCATCTATTTGCGTTGCAGTTCTCGGTCGATGTGGAACTCGTAGTATTTTGAGTTGTTCGTAGCTTTGAAAATTAGAAGAACTTCTGACCTGAGGTCAGGACAAAAAGCATTTTGAAAATTAATCCACATTTGTGACACTGCGCATCACTGGGAACTGTTTGCGAAATCGCAGTCCCATCGATCCTCACAGTTCTCTCGCAAGCAACTGATAATATCTTGAATTAAAATATGTTTTGGAAAAAGAGTATCGGCGAAGCTATGGCTTGCGTCGTTGGAAGGTTTGGAAACAAAGCTGCTGTAAGCGAAATTTTTTACAGCATAAACTTGTCGAAAATGCAATTTTTATGATTGTAGCAGGCATCGATTTGTTTAAATACGCATGACAGAAACTGTGGATGTAGGACGTAGGGGCCATCCCATTCCAGGAATGTAAAACTTTTCCAATCATGAAATGTGTGTGGAGGCTGCTAGCAAAAGTGTAAATATTCGCGCGCTAGCAGCAATACTGGAATTTGCGTGAGCGTATTTACGTTGAGTTCTACGTTTGTATCATTAGCACTTCTAGAGACTGATAGAAACTGCATGGGGTATCTCGTCAATTTAAATTTGCAAGCTCGCTTTCCAACTCTTTTTTTTTTCTCAAAACTAGCTCACTTCAATGAGTATTAGCCCAGTCCCCATTTCTCTGGTCTGGCGAACATTTCGCGCAATCACTCAGTTTCAAAATCTATAGCAAGTTCGAACGACACGCGCAGGACTTGATTCTTGTAATTTGTAAGAACCGGTTTCAAATACATCACAAGAATACTCATCGCTTCCTTGGTTTGCACCTGAGGAGGCACCAAACTCGTCGCTAAGAGAACAAAAATATGCAAAAGTTCAGTGCGAAAAGATTTAGAACTAAAATCTAGCAGGAAGCTGAACTTAGCCAAAAACGACTGAATTGTGTGAAAGAAGCAAATAAGTGGACACAAATGCGCTAAAAAGTACCAAATTTAAGAAATAGGACTCAAAATAAATAAGTAGCCGGGCTTGTTTTTTAGTAAAGGATTTTACAGTCGTCGGCCCAGGATCTTTTTTCTCTTTTCGAACTCTTTCAGGAAGTGTGCTCCAAAGACACACAGCATTATCGATATGCAGCAGAAGTGGGAGAGGGGAGATAGGCTGGCAGATCCTAGAGGATACTGAAAGCTTCATGCTCAGCACATGGCAGTAATTAAGCTGCAGAGAAACTGTGTTATTGGTGTTATTTGGATGCGCTCCACATATTGCACATAGCCAAGCCAGGCCTTTTGATCCTGGAGTGCACGCTTCCACAACTGCATAAAATACACCCAAATATGCACAGATATGTGCATTTGAGAGGGAGTGGCAATTTTGTATTGCCTGTATACTGTAGATCGTATTGCAGGTGTTTTTTGCAACAGTATTTTACGGATCGAATTTTACAGAGTGACCTCACTCTCACTCACGTGCGCATATAAATGTATTTAAGGATGTGCACCGTATTCACGCACATCAAACAGTGCACTGGTACGTGTGCAGTGCGTGGCCATTAGCATGATTCATTTGGCTGTGTTCAATAAAAATTGATTCTGGTAAAAAGAGGTCAGTCGGGCATCATGCGAACTAAATTCTCTCATGCATCAACACCTCAGAACGAAAGTATCTTCATATACGGCGTTCTCTTCACGTTCTTATATTCTTTTCTTAAATTCATTTTATAGTTTCGAAAATTCGTTTATAATGAGCGGATAACGGGAGAACGAATGAGTTTTAGTAGGCTTTTCAGTGTGCTACGCTCAAGCGGTTATCTTCTGCAGCTGAATGGGTGGCACATAATAAGCTAACCAGCGGCTGAAGTGTTTCTAACAAATTACAGATCATACTAATGGCAGCATCGCTATGTAGCAAAAAGTTATAGCCAAATTCAAGCAATTAGTGTACAATTTGTTCAAGCACAGAGTACATCAAATCTTATTGCTGACATTTTTTTTTTCGTGCTACCCGCAAATTCAAATTGATACAAGAAGCTTGCTGTTAATGAGTTCTGTTCACTTCAACGTTTATATTTTCACAACCAAAATTTCGAACTGAAAAGACCGTGCTCACCTCTTCAGTGCCATTGTTTTAAATACAGTAACGTGAGGATGCGGAACGTGACCGCTGACGAAAGATGGGCGCTGAATGTGACACAGAGAGAGGGAGAGAGCGAGGAAAGGAGAGAGTAATTATGACCGGAAATATTAATTAGGAGGCGTTCGTTCAGAAAGTAGATTAGATAATATCGTCAAGACCGTAAGAAAAAGTGAAATATAGTAAGCTGAACAAGCTCCTCACTTTGTTGATAATTAGCGGATTCATGCAAGACAGTGTTAGCTACAAGAGCACAATGATGTTTATGCTGTCAGATAATGAGTTTTTAATAACTGTACGTCATTTTGTGGAAAATTTCTTCTGGAAAAAAATATTTTGGATTGAGAAAAGACAGACAGATAAAATTCACTTTCTAAGATATAAATTAGCAATTCTTTTAAATTGTTATAATCGCTTTAAAACTTTTAATTGTCTAAAAAATAAATCTCAAAAACTGCCGTGAAAATATTTTTTTCGTTTCTTCCACTTGCTTTTTGGTCAGGTAAACGTGAAGGAGGACCGGTAGGAGAGGGTAAGGGACACAGTTTAAAGCTTGATTTTCAAGACTAATATTTTTGGTCCAGCAATCTTCGCCGTTTGAAATTTGCTGCTGTGCTATGCCAAGTAAAAAAAAAGG